TGTGTCCTCTCGACGGGGTGGACCTGATTCTTTGAGAAACTGGCCAGATTCTCAGATTAGGGTGACTCAAAGGAATCCCTTTAGGCATATCAGCCCGGCCCATCCGACGCAAAGACGGAGCCCCGGCCCGCCTGTTCCTCCGACTGCTTAATCCGAGCAAGGGGGTGGGGTGGACATTTGCAGGGAGTTTCCTGAAACTCGCCCTTGACTCGTCTGACATGTCGCAATCTTTACGTCTTCCTGATCGGCCGCTCCGATTACGCACTTTCTAATCTCGACCCACATTCTCCGCGCCTTCAGAACGCTTCATCGCGTCGCAGGAATCTTATTTTAATATCGCAAGGGCGCAGCGTGGTACAGAAGACCGGTGGAGGCGGCCAAAACTCTACTCGCGTTTTGAGCTCCAAAGTCGGTAAGCATGACTCGAACTGAGCGTGTGCCCCCACCAATGGCTTCCTCATTCAGGGAGAAATCCATTGGTGGGGTCACACGTTCGGTTCGAGTCCCATTCAGCGAGTCTGGAGCTCAAAACGCGTCCGGGATTTTGACCGCCTCCACTGGTCTTCTGGACCACTGAGGGCCCTATTTTGAAGGTGTACCGAGGCGAGCTGCGAAACATTTTCTGACGTATGCTCCTCGCAGCCACTCGTGTTTCGCTGTGCACCTGGCGGCAGGCTGCTGCAAGGCTGCTGCCGCCGTTTTTATGCTTCTTCTCGGAACCTCTTAAGTTTTTCGAGAGGCGTGAGAGGAGGAGGGGTGGATGGCGTCACGTGCTTCAGGTGCTGCTGACGCGCGCCTTCGCAGCGGCCGGTCCGGGAAAGGGGGGGGGGCGTCCATAAAGCGCCTGCCTCAGTGCCTCGGTGTGATCGAAACTAGTTTGACAGTCATTTTAAATAAATTTCAGACGCGCTGTTAACAGGTTATACTTCAAAAGTCAGCTTTGTTTCCCGCAAGGATTTGTTTCAAATCTATCGAGTGTTTCATACTTAGCACTTAATGATTACTAAAATAAAACCATGAAAATTTTTAAAATTATGTTTATAAAATATATTTTTGGGCGGAGAGGCAAAGCGCTGTGATGACTGCCGTGTGCATATGCACTACCCGAGACTCGTCCCGGACCTGGGATGCGTAACGTGGATTCCTGCGTTTCAGCTTGCTGAGCTCTTCCCCCAGGGAGGCCCCGCTGGGAGGCCCCGCCCCGCAACCCTTGCGAAATCCATCTCATCGACCAGAGTGTGACGTTTCATTCCACGTCGAAGTCACGCGGCTAAAAGGAGGAGAGAAAAATGGTGTAGGAGTGCAGTGCTCACCTGCAACGCACGCGCGGCGCACGCGCACGGCCCGGCCGGCAGGGCGTCTCGTGGGAGCCGGGGAGGGAGAAAAACTGCGCCGAAGCTCCGCCAGCCCCGACCCCCTCACGCCATTGTCAAAGTCGACAGCACGACAAAAGGACACGTTAATAAGAAGGGAGAGGACGGGCAGGCGGGGAGAGCATTTTGCCATTCTCCGGTGCCGTTTTCTCCTTCCTCTTCTTCTTTTTCGGGGGGAAAAGTAACTTCTGGGTATCGTTCCCTGCGCAGGGTTCATCACCACTGTAAAACAGGCTGAAATGGAACTGGGAAAGTCGAGTCTGCACTGCAGACTGATTCCGGGAGTCGTTTTCGTCGCTCTGTCTCTCTCGCGCGTATACGGGACGCCCCATGAGTGCGAGAGGGACAGAGCGACATTGACGACGACCTCAGGCTGCTGCCGCGTCCTACCCTCTTCCTTGCGCTACCCCGCCTGATCCCGAGGTGAAGGGTGTCGACAGGATGGATGGGATTGGCGCCCGGGCCTTTCAGCAGTGGCGTGGCTGAAAAACGTGACGCCCGCCGCCGCAGTGACAGCTGCGGGTTCGAATACTGGTGACGGTGAACTTTTTTTTTTGCCCTTTTTGCCTCGTGTGTTGTGGGCTGCGCCAGGCTGCGCCGCCGGCCAGCGTTTCTGGCGCGGGAATCGCAATACGAATCCAGAGTCGGTGATGGATGGACGGAAGTGTCGGGCGGAGCGAGGCCGGGGCTGCATGACTCTGCAGTGCGGCCGGAACGTCTGCAAATCCAGTTTCTTGGCGGCTGTGCTTTGCACACTGCAGACTCAAAAGTTGCCCTCTACGTTGATTTTTTTTAAAGCAAACAATGTACACAACAAACTACTTGAAGTCAAAGTACTTGATGTTTAATGGAAATATTTCCTGAAAGAAACAAAATGCGTGTCACTTCTGGCAGTGAAGTGGTGACCCAGCATATCAGTGCGGTCCGTTCACAGTTCAAGTGCTGGCTACTCGATACTCAGTCATCGGATCGTAATCGGAAGATCTGAAGTTGCGCAGCAGATTCGCGAAATTGTTGCATCATTTCCTCGCACGCGCACCATGTTCCATCGCCTTTTTCTCGGGAACTAACGTTAAATTCTAGTGCAGAAATCTTTGAATTCCACTCGAATTTCTGGTGAATTTAAATGAATTCAAACCAAATTTCCTTGACTTTCGGTAACTTCACTTATTTTTATTAAATTTTGATGAATTTAGTCCGACTTACATAAATTTTGACTTAATTTCAAGATCTCTGGCCGAAATTTAAGATTGCCCATAAATTTTGGTGTGCATGTTTTGAAGTGGTCTTTCCTTGGTTTTCCTTAACAGAGGACCGCCACGTGGCCACCTGGGCAGGTGCGTGCGGCCGTCCCTGGGCCCGTAATAGGACAGGCACTGCCAGGCAGCGGGAAGTTTCCTTACAGTTCAGCAGAAAAATGAGGAGGCGGTGGACAGACGGACTGTGGCGAGCCGAGGGGAGGCGGGGAGGGCGGGGACCACGTGGCGGGGACCGTGTGGCCGGATGGAAGAGTGAAAGTTGCGGATAGGCATCTGCGGGGTCAGGTGGACCGAAGGCGGGGCGGGGCGGGGCGGGGTGGGGTGGGGCGGGGCGGGGTGGCGGAACGTGCCGACGGGGGAGGGAACCTGTCGCTGTAGTGCGGCAGAAGAATTATTATGGCGGGGCACCCCGGGAGTCCCGGGCGGTCCTGGGACACTGGGGTGGTAAGAAATTTCGTTCATTACGTGTTATCCACGGGCCGTGTAATAAAAGTTTGGCCAGCGACTTGAGGACGTCCTCGCTCGCAGCCCTGCAAGGCTGCCGGCCCGCCACGCCGCCACGCCGCCACGCCGCCAGCGCAGCAGCTTCGATGATTAATGCGCGGAGTTTGGAAACGAGCCTGCTGGGGGTGATTGTGGCACGTGTAGGGTTTTGTTTCGGCCAAGATTGTGTAGTATCATGCAGCGGGGCTTTTTGCGCACCAGCAGCCATTCCGATAGTCGTTTTCGTCGCTTTGCCTCTCTCGCTCTCGCGGGGCGCCCGCTGTAGGTGCGAGAGAGACGGTGCGGCGGAAACGACCCTCGGAATCAGGCTGCATGCAGCATATTTCGCTGTAATTTGGCGCTCGGCCTCTCCGGGCAGACCACTGTGCCGGAGGGCTGGGGCACGTTTGATCCTCCTCGAGAGCGAGCCCTCGCAGGGCCTTGCCCGGCCTTGCCCGGCCCTGCCCGGCCCTGCAGGTGTGGGCGTTCTGCCTCGGAAGGCCCTTCTCGGCACTCGAGGCCGCCTTGAGTCGGTTACAATGGGCGGAGCGGTCTCGTTAGGGCACCGCCTTGAGACTGTCCAGGCTGTATCAACGACCCCGGACGCTCCGCCTTGCTTAAAGTTCGCCCTCAGCCTGCCGTGGCGAGGGTAGGCCCGCCCGCAGCACACAGCCCCGCACGCGCTGCCTACCCGCCGGGCGCTCGAAAGCAGTGGGCCCTTCCCTGCAGTCAGACTTTCTTTTCGCAGTGTGGCAGCGCGTTTCCAAAGGGTCCCGCCGTGTCCCTTTCCCCTTTCACCCTGACGTGCATTACAGAGCCGCTGGTGTTGACCGAGCGCGGACTGAGCAGCGCTCTGGCTCCGGACGGGGCCCCCTGTCTCTCTCACGCCCACGCCAGAGCTACGGAGGGCAGGGCCGCCCGCTCGGCATCAGACCGCTGCTGAAACTTTCAACGCGACCCACGCGACCCGAATCGGAACGACCGGCGTCCACCGTGATATGCATTTTTCAGGTATGACCGTGCGGCCCTTTCGGGCCCTTTCAGGCGCTTTCAGGAAGCCGTTCCTGGACCGGCATTGCCGCTATTTTCGCGGTTAGCTCATGAATCGGGCATCGCGCGCTGTCTGAGGCTTTAGAAGGCGTCCGGGCCTTCCATGCTGGCTGACGCGCGGCTCGGCTCGGCCCGTGGATCGTTCCGCGCCTTCTATTTTTATTTCATGCCAGCAGAATTTTGGAGCGGTGGCGGTTTAGACCCCGGACGCGAGTGGCGTAGTGGGTTATTCAACCCCTGACTAACATTTCCTCAAAGAAATTTCCCTGGAAATGTATGAAACTGTTTTTTTTTCTGCGTGAAAGTGCACCTGTTTTTCACAGTCGTCCGACTATAACTTGGCTGTCTGGAGCACAGCAAGGTACCGTCACGATATATTGCCCCTCTTACTACCTGCGCCTGATAGTTTCCCAAACGACCTGGATCGGATCCCTAAATCAGCTTGTCGGCGTGGCTGACGTGGTTGCGTAGCTGCCTGGACGCTCTGCAGAGTTGCGAGGATTTCCCCCGGCAGACTGTCAACTTTTATGAGTGTCGCTGGACACGTGGATTTGCCCTGATCAAGCATACATGCAAAAAATGTCGAACTTATTGTTTGTGCAGTGCCGTTTTCGTGATGGAATCTGATTGACAGCATCGAAGCGCGTGCAACGTGGAGTGCATCGCTCTTCCATGCCTCTACAGCTGGGAGTTCAGGTTTTACAACGTGATGTAGTATGTGCTCGTGGCGTGTGCCTGCGTTCACACAGCCACTAACACCTCTGTCGACATCATCGATAACCTAATCTCTCCGAATGACTCTCGAGCGGCCAGGTGATCTTATCTTTCTCTCATGCACTTTTAGGAAAAATTGAAGAGGGGTATATTGCAGTTGGAGTTCCGTTCAAGTTTGTTTCAGCTGAAGTTCCGTGAAATAGAAATTGGTTAGGGACTCTTGCCTGCCCGACACGTCGTTTCGAACTGTCTTGCCCAGAAGTCACCGTCCGGACCGGCCATGCTGCCGCTCCGCTGCGTGAGGGTATCGGTGATTTCGAGGTATGTCTCTTGACCGCCGGACTTCACGGGTTGCCATTGGATATTAATGACGTCAGTTGGCATAGGAGTCGGGTCCCTGGTAAACACAGCAGTTTCACTCGAAATTCCGTTCGAAACATTCAAGCTATTCGCAGGGTCCAACTTGGACAGTTATACCTACCCATATTTTATGAAGTTTGTCAACATGGTGACTTGTCGTCGGACCGCCCTGGAGGCTGTGCTGTTTCCGTAAAAATCTTGGGGGTTTCGTGCACTTCGCCACGTGTAATTCAAGTCGGATCCATGGACAACATCTGGAACGTGACCACAAAGCTTGCCTTTCATGCAATGTTTCTTCACAAACTGTAACCTATTTTCATCGGGTTCTTAATAATCTTACCGTTCTTTAAATAGTCGGGGAGATTTTCCCTATTGTGGTTGTAGTCTGATAACAAATTAAATATGTACGCGTACGTAGGGCTTGAAAGATACTTTGACCTCAGGCGGAGCATGTGAGATGAGTCAACCATAATGTACACTTGATTCATGAACTGGAACATTAAATAGGACTGTTTGAGCACAATGACGTTGGTGTTGCTGTGCTTGATAAGTAAAATCCGTACCTTTGACATTCTGCAATTTGTGTTGCAATCCGCTGGCAGTGAGGGGCTTAAGAAAAACTGATCTCGTATGTCGTCGACTAACTTTGTGACAGATATCTTTGAAACGAAGTCTTCAATTGCAAGAAGCTTTTGTGTATCTTCTCCAGGTATAATTGACCTTGGAACATACGTTATGAGGTCCTTGATAGTCGATTGTAGAAGTGCTTCGTTATCAAACATTGCTGGAAATTGATACGATGGCAATAATGTACACAGCACGAAATACATGTTTACTTATTTTAAAATACGTACGTTGCATGGCGTAAAAGATAGTCCATTCCTCTTGCGTCTCCCCAAGAATAAGTGGGATATCATTGGCTTCTTTACTGATAAAATAACTCTCTGGGTCGTTACGAATGAGCAACTCTTCTTCACCTTGCTGCCTTTTTTCAAGGCTAGGCAAGTAAAAAAAGGAAATGTCCGTCTACAAACAAGAAACGCATACCTTGCAGGTGTGTTTACAACTACCGTTGCTCTACCACCACATCTCAAATATCAATTTACTAATAACTTTCTTTTGCTTTAATAGCCAGCGCTTACCCCAACTCCCTTGGTTGTTTGAAGCAAAATTGTTGCATTTTCCGCGGCATAGTACAATTCTAAATAAGAAGCTTCTTTGAAGGCGAAAGTTTTTTCCGCAACGGTACCGCTATTTTTTCCTGTCAGGTGGGTGTATACCGCGTCGGCGAACTCTTCGCGTTTGTAGTTAAGTCCCCAGCTAGCAACAGCGGTCCCACTTTGGGTAATAGCGGAACGGATAAGGGCTGAAAGCACAAAAATTCACTTCATATACGTTTCATACGAGAAACTTATAAATTTTGATTTTACTCACACTTTGTTTGGGGCAAAAGCGTCAGCCAGCTGGCGCTAACTGATCCAGAAGACTGGCCACCCAGGGTAACTTTGGAAGGATCGCCACCGAAGTTCGCAATATTGTCATGCACCCAACGAAGAACTTGCAATTGGTCTTTTAACCCAGCGTTGCCGGGTACATCATCCGTGTCGAGACTTAAACTAGCTAACAAAACAAATACGATATTATTTCAAGACGACATTCTTCAACTTTTGTTTATTGAAGAAAAGGCTTACCTAGAATGCCAATTCTGTAGTTCATTGTAACGACAACCACATCCTGGGAAACAATGAAATCCGGGCCAAATTCGTTCGAATTTGAATTGCCGTACTGAAATACTCCCCCGTGGATAAAAACGTAAACAGCAAATTTGGGATTCTCCTGAAATATTCGAGTTTTTTAGACAAACTTCAGTTTTATTGTAAACAATTAAAAAAAACAGTATCACACCTTCGCTGACGGAAGTCGAGGAGTATACACATTCAAGTACAAACAATCCTCTGAGCCAATAGTTCCTGCCTGCGTGCATGAATTTCCTTCTACCAAAGCATCTCGTATTCCTGTCCACGGGGTCATTGGTTTTGGGCCCTAATAAAAGGATACGGTTGTAAATTTTGTGTCCACCAATAATTTAATACGACTAACGCTGTGAGAATATCATGCCTTAAATCGAAGGTCTTTAACCGGTGGCTGTGCGTAAGGTACACCCTTAAAAGCAACATACTTCAATTTTTTTCCTGGTAGTCTGTCGATCCAAGTACCTCTCAATTTTCCGTACGTTGTAGACACTACATACTCATCTGTGGGCCTGCAGTCAATAAGTCATGTTACACATTTCAAAGAAACCAAAGTGGTAAAAGTAGAGTTCTCATCAATGAATCGTACCCCTTATCGTCATCCTTTTTGGAATACAACGTAAAGAACACTGCGATAATGACAACAAAAACAATGGCTACTCCTAGGAAGATTGCTGCAAAGAAAGGTTAATAAAAAGTTGAAATACTTCATTCAATTTGCATGCTTTAAGTCTTATGAACGAAATACCTTTCCGTGATTTAAAAAACGCCGCCATTTTCCTTGAATTGAAAACAGCTTTGCCGCTGTGCCCACTGCACTTGGCAAGCTGAATGCTGCTCCACAGACTGACAGTTCTTTCAGAAGCACCTCTGATTATGCCTTGAGTCAAATCTTATCTCGCTTTGTGCCATCAAAGACGATTGTCGACGCACGGCGCCAAGTACGAAACTCTTCTAGAGTGTCATCTGAACAAGTTCAGAGAATGACTGACAAAAAATCTTTGGAATTTGGGATCGCAAAAACAGACAAAAATGCGTTTAAAATTTTATTTAAAAATGTATTTACAAAATAGTGGGCAGTGCAGGGTCATGGGCTTTTATTTGCTCGGTACGATGAGAAAATTTCTGACCAGATTTCAGCGTCTGCCGCGCTGCCTTTCCGTTGTTCTAGGTTTTCAGTTATCTCGAGATAGGTCTCCTCTCCTCCGTGAGTCACGGGCTGCCACTTGACTGTGATCTCGTCGTCAATCTTCGGCGTTGGGTTCCTGTAAAAATTACAAAAAAAAATAATTAAAATTTCTTCTTAGTTAGAGAAACGAGTTACAGGCCGATGCAAGTCCTCACCCTTCTTTGACGAAGTTCGTTATCATGCGGACGAGGCGCCGCGAAGCAACAGCTGCTGTGTTGTTTCCGTAATCGTACGTATACTTTTCTTTCTTCCATATGTAACCCATTTCATCTCCATGGACGACGTCTGAAGGAAAGTTTAAGCTCATAAATAATGTACTACTGAAATTTCCAAACTATCGGTTTTAAACGTACCAGACTGTAGATAATGAGGCAGGTATGTGATATCGTTGTTGTAATCTGATTTTAAATTGAACAGAAATGCAAAGGTTGGCTCTTGTATGTACTTTGATCTCAAACGAATGAAGTGGCTTGTATCTGCCATGATATAGGCCTGATGCAAATACTGAAACACAAAGAAAAAGGTAAACTGGTGATTGATTTCAAACTTCATGAAATCTTTTGAGCTTGTAATATTTGCTTTCTAAACTAACAAGAAAAAACTATTTTGCTAATGACAAGGAAGAAAAACTAAAAGCTTTCTTTTACCTTAGACATTTTGCAGTTTGTGCAGCATTCTTTGTCATTGTCATTTTTAAAGTAGAATTCTCTAAGTTTCTTGACAAAGTCGTCAACATTAACCGTAGGAACGTGTTCTTTTATCCGAAGCAACTCTTGGGTATCGCTCCCAGGCCTAATTGAGGGCGGCACGTAAGTTATTAAATTTTGGATATGCTCATTCAGTTGTGTTTCGTTCTCAAACATTCCTGGAAACAATCATACACTTGATAAAATTAAAAAACAATAATTAGAATGTAAAAATGTCAGAATTAAAGGAGTCTTTTTTACCTAACAAAGAGAAAAACCTTGTCCATTCCTGTTTTGTTTCGCCGATGATCATGGGAATGTTGTTAGCGTCTTTGTCAATGATGTAACTCTCTGCATCTTTTGTAATAAGTTTCTCTTCTTCACCTTGTTCTCGTTGTTCAATGTAAGGAGCATAAAAAAAGCTTATGTCCGTCTGCGTAAAAAATAAGAACAAAGTCGTTTTAGTTCTAAGTAGAGATAACTTTCCGAATCGAAATAATTACATATGCTGAAGAAAAATAGCTTAATCGTACTCCCCATGACATGCCACCACCTGTTAACTTACCCCAAGGCCCTTCGTCTCTTGGATTAATAATGTTGCATTTTCAGCGGCGTAGTAAAGATCCAAATAGTTAGCAGATTTAAAAACGCTTGTCATTGCTGATTTATCATCGGTTGTTGTGCCTGTAAGGTGCTTATAAATCGCTTTGGCAAACTCAATATGTTTGTTTGTGCTAGACCAACCAGAGACAGCTGTGCCACTTTGAATAATAGCAGCTCGAATCAAATCTAGAATTATGAAGTGAGATTAAAAACTCGTGAATATGTGCTCAATTTTTCGAGAATTAAGTGAATCTCACCTTTAGTTTGCGGCACAATTGCCAGCCAGCAGGCGCTCACGGATCCAGAAGAATGTCCTCCAAGCGTAATTTTTGAGGGATCCCCCCCAAAGTTTTCTATGTTTTCTTTCACCCAACGGAGGACATGTAGCTGGTCTTTCAAACCTGCGTTTCCTGGCAATTCATCCGTGTCCAGCGACAAACTAGCTAAAATTTTACAAAAGAATTAATTTTTTTATTGTATTTTAGATAAAACTTATTTGATCGGACAGTTAAAAAAAGGCATCTTACCCATTATTGCTGTCCTATAATTCATAGTTACAACAACAATGTCTTGCGTTATAAGAAAGTCGGGCCCATAACCATCGGCGTTACTGTTCCCGTGTTGAAAAGCACCTCCATGGATGAATACATACACGGGCAGTTTGGGATTGTTCTAAGAAATGAATAATTAAAAACTTCGCATCATCAGGAATAAGGCCTTAAATGTAGATTGCTTACCTCGGCCGATGGCATTTGTGGTGTGTACACGTTCATGTACAAGCAATCTTCAGAACCTACAAAGCCGTCTTGAATACAAGTGTTGCCCTCAGTGGTTGCAGGTCGGATTCCTTCCCATGGTGGCAACGGTTTTGGCCCCTAAAAATATTTTTAGGCTGTTATTGGTACAATAACCTGGATGCTCTTATTACAAAGAAACCGAGTGAGGACTAAAGAGTGCAAGCTCCCGTCTATTGGAAGAGTTGTTGACGAGGGATATTTTTTGCGTACCTTAAACCGAAGTTTACCCAGTGGCGGCTGAGCGTAGGGAATGCCCCGAAATGCTGCGTATCTGAAGTGTGCTGGGTCACCTGCGTCTACCCATTCTCCCGCCAGCTTTCCTTGTTTAGTGGTCGCAACTACCTCTTTTAAGGATCTGAACCGAAAACAAACAGCATAATTAATCACTCTTTTCCTACAAAGACATGAAGCAGGTGGCAAAAGAAAATACTGTACCCCGTATCTGCGCTTTGGGTCAAAAACACTGCGCACAATACAGCCACCAGTACAACTAAGATAATGGCACCAATGACAATCACTTCTGAAACCAAAGTAAAAAACGCAACGTGAAGGGATTATTTTTACCACAAAACTAGAAATGTTCCATTATTTTAACTGTTATTTACTTTTCTTTGTAGACATCGCCATTTTGCCTCCAAAGAAGGCGTCGCACTCGATGTATAGTTCTACTCAGACTGCGGATACTGCAGTTTGCCGCCTATTATGTAGTAAGCACGCCACCGCACTGATCGTGCCAAGTCGCGTGTTATCCTGCACCTTGAGAGGTGCCTGTGTTTATCGACGCACATGATGAAGCACGTTAGCAGCATGACTGTCCCCTTGAAAAGGACGCGTCATTCATGAGGCATTTTTGATAGGAAAGATGAAGATTCAACACACTGTTATTTTTTTTTAAGAATTTTATTTCTTTAAAAATCATTTTTTTCGGTATTGTTGGTACAGATTAAACCAGAACGGCATGTTAGGGCCTCCAATGTCTTCATCTTTTTCTTCTAGTTCCTCTTGAATTTCTAAGAACCTTATGCCAGTTACCCGATTTTCAGTTGGCTGCCACGTGAATTTGTTGTCGGGTGACGGTATCCTGTAATTTAGAGTATTTTGTGTGCCGATCTTTCAAGGCAGCCTTTTATTTGACTGTTATGACTTACCCAGTTCTAATATAGGAACCCCACATATTTGTCATACGCTGCAACGTGCGAGACGCAAGGTCATCTCCGTTAAGCTTTTGACGCAACCCGCTCATTCTCCAAATATAACCAAGCTCATCGCTGTGCACTGCGCCTGCAAAAGTAACGATTACGTTAACTTGATTTTTAACGAACTTTTGTGCATTTGAATACGCACCTCCGGCTGATTGATCAGGATCTACAAGAGCCGATATGCTATAGTCGCTTCGCAAGCTAAAACGATAAACATATGTTGTTGATAATTTACTGCTTGATCGCAGGTCCACTAATCGGTTGGTGTCAACTCCAATCACAATGTCGTCTAAGTACTGAAAAAATTATAAAATTATGTTTTTTATTAAATAAAAGAGAAAAAGAAACACGTACGTACATTATGTTTTACCTTTTTAAATATGCACGTCAAATTGCAGTTCATGTCCATACTTCGAAAGTAATTATGGTCTACAGCATCAGTTACGTCTGACCACTGAAAAGTAGGCGCGACGTCTGTCAATTTAAGGTACTCTATTGTGTCGATGTAAGGTATGATATTTTTTGGCAGTAGGTTTATTAAAGTCCTGATTCTGTAATTCATGAAATTGACATCCCCACCGTATCCTGCACAGAAAACAGTTTTTAAGCAAATTTGGCATTAAACAGCCAGTAAAAGTTGACTGGATGCTTACCGTAGGCATAATATCCTGCAAGCCATTCCCTGTTATTCATTCCCACAAACATTGGCTTTTGAGGGACAGTAGGATCAATTATCAACGTCTCGGGCGAGTTAGTTATCAGTGGCTTTTCTCCCCCAACTACTGGAACTCTCCGCTCTATTGATGGGGCATATGGAATTTGCGTGGCTAGTGTCTGTCGCAATTTTAAAAGTAACATTTTTCACAATCACTGATTTGTTTCTTACTCGCCTCATAAATGTAAGCTTTACGGTTCACTCACGTTTGATCTCTGAATCGCCATTGGCATGCTAGCTGCCATTAAATCTTTGGGTGGCAGCGACATGACAAGCTGGGCAAGCTCAGCGATAGTTATTGTTTTGTTTGCTAGTGCTCGTCCCAAATCATCTGCCACGGCAAAGTTGTCTTCGTTATAGCCAAAACTATGAAGTGCAGATCCACTTTCCAGTAGGACGCGTTTAAATAAATCTGAAAAAAATCTCATGTTGTATACTGAGTCTGCAGGCCATGCTGTAACAGAGTCGAGGGCCTACCTCTTGATTCGGGGAGAAGGGCCAGCCAATGCGCAGACACTGCTCCGGCTGACTGACCCCCTACGGTTATTTCGTTTGGGTCACCTCCAAACTTGGCTATGTTTTCCGATACCCATTTTAATGCAGCTATTTGATCCTTAATACCCGCATTTCCGGGCACGATTTCATTGTCTAAATTCAGAAATCCTTCAGGAGAACAAGCGAGGAAAATTAGGTGTCCGAAAACAGGTTGAGTTGACATTTTTGCCCTAGTCGCACTTACCGAAAACATTAAGTCGGTATTTTATTGTAACGACCACAATATTTTGCATCATTAGAAACTCGGGCCCGAACCAAGAATAATTTGACGTTCCAAATAGGAAAGTTCCACCATGGATGAAAAAATAAACAGGCAGCAACTTTTGGGTCTGCAAAACACAACGCTATCAGTTCAGCGTCCTTGTGCTGTCAAGAGATCGTGACGTCACCATTGTCATGATTGTGCACCTGTTCCGGGAGGTCGGGGCTGTACACGTTCAGATAAAGGCAGTCCTCGGAGCCGACTGCCTCAAAGGTCTCAGAGCTTTGCTGCCAACAGTCGGCGCTCTCCTCGGTGGCGTCTCTTGTGCCATTCCACTGCAGCGGTGGCCTTGGAGCCTTTGCACAAGAAAACAGTTGTGTGGTGCAATTCAATAACTTAAGATATTTTGCAGCGTTTGAATTACCTTGAACCGCAATGGGCCTACGGGTGGGTGCGCATAGGGGACTCCTGTAAACGCAGCAAACTGCTTTGCGTCTTCCGCACCGGACACGGGTAACCACTGGCCCTGCAAAACGCCTTCTTGAACCTGCACTGTGGGTGGATGCCTAAGGGAAAGATTTTCATTTTATTCTTACTCTCAAGAATGTTGTTTCCTTTACTGTTCAACTCACTTTCTGACACTGGCTGCAGGTGTCTGCAGTAGAAGAACCGTTGCCACCGCGACGCAAACCACAATTGTCACAACGGTTGCTATCCAACACACTGCAAACACCCGTGCCTTAGCGTTAGATTGCATGACAAATGCTCGCAGCGGTTCTGTTACACAAACTAATTTTACGCACCGTGTTTTCTCTTCATGGCTGATCGGAAGGACACAAAGGTAGCGTTGCTTCAAGAAATAAGAAACGGCCGAGGCACTCCACAGGCGAGTCTGCCTATCGCTATGTTGTAGAATCAGAGACTGAGCACGTACTGCAACAGAGAACCAAACTTTTCGTTATTGTGAAGGGCTTTGCCAGCAGAGCTCTCCTTGCCTTATCGAAGTGTGTAGGGGCGTCGAGTAGGGCGATACAGAAGTCCGACATTTTGTCGCCATTTTGATGGGATAATGATAAAGTGAATGGATATGTGTCATTGGAGCCCCTGTAGGGGTGTGTACTGTCTAGCCAATCTTGGATATCGTTCGTGTGAAAATCAGGCCACTGATACCACATCAACACCGTGAAAGATTTGGCCACTTTCCCTTACAAGAACGTCACGAAACCAGTTGATGGCGTTGTTGTCACGCCCGTACGCGCGCAGCGCGGTGCGACCCTCCTCCCTCGAGCTACATTCCTGTGGACTAAAGGCCTCCATCAACCTCTTAAAGTAATAGGCGCATGCTTGATGAGCATTAGGCAGTAATTTGTGATGGAATAGTTATTATTTTCTTTCACGACTCTTTCGTGCAAATTTCCGCAGTGAACTGGGCAAACTTTGCAAAACATGATAGTCGTGTAGACACTCCAACCATGTGAACGGCGTAGACCACAGACAAATTGTATGGGAGGCACGACAACCAGGTGAACCGTGTTAACCGGATGGTGCTCTGCTTGCAGGGGGCTACTCGCGGGCGCCGCGCATCTCGGAGCACCCCCAGTCGGTGGTGGTGCCTCGGCACGACCCCGTGACGCTCAAGTGCGGCGTGGAGGGCCTGGACGGCGGCAGCGTGGAGTGGTGGAAGGACGGCGCCCCGATCAAGACGCACGGGCCGTCGGCCCACCGCATGCTGCTGCCCGACGGCTCGCTCTTCTTGCTGTCCGCCACGCAGCGCAGCAAGGAGCGCAAGGACTCGGACGCCGGCGTGTACTGGTGCGTGGCGAGGAACGCCTTCGGCAACGCCACCAGCAGGAACGCCACGCTCGAAGTGGCCGGTAAGTCTAACCAATTGGTTAGGTTAGGTTCACGGTGAGAACGGTACCTGGATTTCTCAGGAAGCCTATGGTAGAGACGTAGGTGACTTCCAGGGAGTTCCTGGGAAAACCAGGTCCCGTTTTTACCGTGTTGAGGGCTAGAAGTAAGTGACGGAGATTAAAAAACGCCTAGGGAAATCAGGGAAAAAACTAAAGCAAAAGAGTCTGGCACATATTTTTAAAAACCGCAAGAAAAAATGATATTGCGCATAAATTCTCTGTAAATTGAATGGTCCGACACATTGCCATATAACACAAGGGGCAAGACAGGAACGTCACGGGGAAGAATGGCAAAAGAGGTGAATCACGCCGTTATCTGGCGTGAATCTGCCATTCGGATTGACGTTTTCAAGGCGTTTCGTGGGAAGAGTCATGCTAAAAACCGGTGTGACTCGGCGCTGAAAGATTGGCGCGTCTTCTGAGTCACGGCTATTTTTGGCCGTGACCTCTATTCGGCGTAACACTTTGCCCAGAAACGGCAGGAAGTCACGCTAATTTATTTTAAGTCTGACAAAATTTCAGAGAAAAACAAAAATAATGGTATTTCAACTGACATAAGAATTGTGACTAAAAATTGTTGCCGACACTGTGAAATTCATTATTGTTTTTTTGGCAGTTCTTCACTGTTTGTGTTTTCGTTTTCCAGTGCTTCGAGACACGTTCTCAACGGAGCCCCGCAGCATGCGGGTGGCCCAAGGTGACGACGCGCTGCTGGAGTGCGGGCCCCCCAAGGGGCAGCCGGAGCCCACCATCACCTGGACCAAGGACGGGGAGACCCTGGACCTGGACTCCAGCAAACGGTCAGTGCTAACGCCTTCGCGAAACGAAACAAGACGAAGGCGAGTCTCAGGGGCCGGGTCCGTTCAATACCGCGCGAATCGGTCAATAAACGGAACTTAGTCCATTACGGTCGAAATTTCCGGCGAGGCGGGGCCGCGGATAACAAAGAACTATGAAAAGGAAGGTAGCGTCGTCGGGTATAAACGAGACCCATGCAGCTCGCAGATTCGCCCCGCCGTAACTCAAGTGGACCATAAACGTCAGACGGGAAATAATCGTTTCAATAAAAGGTCTGGCCGGCACGCGGCCAAAGTGGAAGGAATTAAACTAGTTCCGACTGATTTACTCGGGCCTGGCGATCACTGGGGTAAAGTATGACCCAGCGTAATCGTCGCACCTGTGCCCGGACCCAAAGCGCACCGCGGACTCGACTCGGATCGGATAGAAACAGTGCGGTTTGGCGGAAGGGGTCGGTCTCGCGGGTCGCGGATATTTCGCAGTGCAGGGGCTGGGGCTTGGCAGTAGCCTCGAGCGGGGCGCGCTTGGACGCCCGCGAGGCACGTCACTGTACAATCGCCAGCAGACTGCTTCCGAGGGTCGCTTTCGTCGCTCTGTCTCTCCCGCACCGGCACGGGGCGCCCCGTGAGAGCGAGAGAGACAGAGACTCGGAAACGGCTCTGCAGTCGGGGTAATGTCGGCGAGGTGCTGCATGTCGGTCGGATCGCGCGGCCCGACCTAATCGACTTTGCACCTCGCCTCCCCTCGCGAGGCTAGGGCCGAGCCAGCAGCAGACTGATTCCGAGAGTCGTCGCTCTGTCTCTCTCGCGGTGCCTGCACGGGGCGCCCCGTGAGTGCGAGAGAGACGGAGCGCGGCCCGGCAGTGTAGCGGCAAGTGGCAAAGGCCAGACGCAAAGGGCGATTGCAAATGGGGTATCGAGGGGAGCTCCACTGGCGGAAGGGACCGGTGGGGCGGGAAAGGGGAAAGGGACTGGGGGAGTGGAGAGAGGGCCGCAAATAAAAGGGGAGGGGGTTTCTGCAGGAATTAGGCGAATGCCCGGGGTCGCCAGGTGCGAAAGAGGATTAGATTGTTGCCCTTCCCGCAGGTGTGACTCGCAGTGTGCCGCCGCCGAGTGCCGTTCGAAATGGCGCGCTTGCAGTGCAGCAGCGCTTCCAGATTCCGGAAGGGTTAAAAAGGAAGCGGAGCGTCCCGCGGGACGACTTGTCCGCTCTCATCATGAGTAACGGGATCGGGGGAAAGGGGGGGGGGACTCGGCGCCGCGCAGCGCCCGGAAAGCCCCGAGGATCAGCCCGGAGGATGTGGGGAGGGGGCGGGGGAAATGGACGGATTAGAGGTACGATCGCGTCGTATACCTGTCAGGCGGCGCTCCAAACTTCACGTGTGAAGAGGAAATGATGGCAGCGTGGGGACGTCGGGCCGTCCCTCGCGCAGACACACACACACACACACACACACACACACACACACACACACACACACACACACACACACACACCCGACTAAAACGCGAAAACTCGTAGACGCTCCCCGGCAGAACATTGACTTGTGTGATTGTTGCGGGATGGCAGGCCAATGGCAGGCCGATGGCAGGCCGATGGCAGCCAATGGCAGCTCGGGGTTATCTCGGGGCAAACCGGATCGTATCGGTTGGTGTTCAGGTGGGGCCCGGCGCGGGGCTCGGCGCGGCTCTGTTTACCCTCCGCTACGCGCTCCCCTGCGAGCACCTGATGCCCTGCCGTGAGAGTGAGGGAGAGAGAGAGGATAGCCCTTATTGTCGGCGAGATGGAATTGATTGGAAACTTGTCTTGCTATTGATGTTGCGAAAATTGGCACTCGGGCTCGTCGAGATAGAAGGGCGAGGGGAGGGGGCAGCTTCGGAGGGGCAGCGGCATATTTGAGCGGAAGTGTCTGCGAAGCGAAAGCGGCACGGACTTAAATTGTAAAGTCTCTGAGGTACCTCCAGGCGGCCCTGCTGTCATCGCCCCGGCTTGGCTCGCCCGGCCCGCCCGGCGCGCTCGGCTCTGCCGTGATTACATTTTATACGTGGAATAAAACGCGAGCACTGCCAGGCAGGGCCGGGCAGGGCCGGGCAGGGCGAACAAGGCAAAAGGAGAGAGAAAAAAAAGTGAGCACCGTTTGCGCGCTTAACCCAAGGGCTAGGTCGACCGGTCATTTTACTGGTCCCCCGAGAGACTTGTAGCGCCAGTGCTACCCCTCCCCTCCCCTCCCCTCCACTTCCTCCTCCTCATCCTCTCGGGTCCCTATTTTTTCCTCCCAGTGTATCCCTCTCTGATTCCGCCTGTTTGCCGCCCCACTTCCATCCCGACGGCCGTTCCGCTGCGTTTTGCTCCAGCTTGCGTCCATTCTCGCGTGCTGCCAATTATTTAGTTTGGCGAGTCGGACTATTTTTTTTTTGGAAATCCATTGCAAATAGAAACAAATGCGGTTGAGGAACTTTCTAAAGATATGTTGCAATCTCTGTTTTTTTTTTTTGTAATAAGTTGTCCGGCAGTTTTCAAAATTTTGCTAAACAGTGCGTGTTTGCGGAACACAAAACACAACGCCCGGTTAGCCGTAACCCAGTTCGTGGCCTCATGACTTCGTAACGTCAGCTCCAGGCCGGTCCCCCGCCAGCACCACCTCGGCTCCGATGGAGCGCTGCCCTTGCCCTGCCAGTGGGCTGCCACAGGGCACTGTCCCGTCTCGCCTCGCCCCCCTCGTTTGGAGGTCTGAAACCTCTACTCAGCCGGCCTCATTCTGGTTCCCCAAGTTCCCCTCGCTACTCCCTGAAGTGCCTTTGCTTAGTGTTCTTACCCTGGGCCGGCTACGCTACGGCTAGACCCACCGGCGTGGCGGCCCTGTTGACGTTCTCCAGGGCCGTTACCTTGGAGAGGAGAAGGCTTCTCGGCCTGTCCGGGGAGAAAGGAGAAACGCGTTAAGGACTTTTGCTTTCCTCGATGGAAACCGGACTGTCCCGAACGGGGTGCTCGATTGTGTTGACCGTGCCCTTCCCGCCACATGATGAGCCAGCATGCCACGTCGGACGGACGAACGGACGCCACAGGCAGATGGCGTATTGTGCGCCGCGGCTTCTGTACCTGTCAGGCTGACTGCAGGCTGCAGGGCTGACAGTACACAGTGGGCCAGAAGACCAGCGCAGGTGGTCAAAACCCTAGACACGTTCCGAGCTCGGAAAGCTGTTAAAGTGTCGGAAATTCAATATGGTGACTTTGAGCAGCCACTGCGTCAAATTTAGTTGCGGTCATAGGCCTTTCTCGACGCCTTACTATTCTGAAGACCCTACTCTTTCATGCCCTGCCTCGGGAAGGCTTTGACCGCTAAAAGTTTGGGAGCAGTAGTCTCGCAAAAATGGTCAAAAAGTGAATGAATTTCAGAAAATCACCGTTTTTGCTGACTTTGAGAGGTCACTGCACCCAATTTAAATGCGGTCAAAGGCCTACCTCGACACCTTACTATTCTGAAGACTCTACTCTTTTATGCCCCGCCTCGGGAAGGCTTTGACCGCTGATAGTTTGGGAGCAATGGCCTCGCAAAAAAGGTCAAAAGTGATTGAAAGTGATGTTGATTATTTCACTGATTACCAGGGTTGTTAAAGTTAATTTAACGATTAACGACGATAATCGATTTTCGATAAGTTAATTTATCGGTTAACGTTAACTCGATAACATCCTGCAGACCAGTTATCGTTATCGAGTTATCGTTAACACGATTCCGGTTAACTTATCGATTAACTAAAGTAACTAATTCCCCAAAACGTAGAAATGCCCGCAAAATTTTTCAGAAAAAACGTTCTGACCTTCGTGTTTTTGTGCCACTGGCACTTCGCCGTGCCCCGACGGTAGTGGTAGGTTAGGTCAGTACTGGGAGTAAGTCGTCGCTAGTCACTTACTAACGCGCTAGTCAGTCAGCATAAGTTTGTAGAATTTTTAATTTTGATCTTTTCAACTCCCTATTCCTGATTGTATTTATTTTATCATTTAAAGATCGGTAATGCTACATATTAGTCCAATTAGATACTTTTGAGCATTTAATGTTGTGTTTTATTTTCCTTCATTCCCTCATCCAATTTTTTTAAAAAGTTAGTTACTTTTAACGATTTTCGTTAAAAGTAACTTATCGATAACTCGATAACGTGGCCGAAAGGTGTTAACGTTAACTAGTTATCGTTAACAGGGGTCGGAAATTAACTTAACGATAACTCGATAACCAAAAAAATTAACTTTAACAACCCTGCTGATTACCCACTAGACGTGCAATGATTACGTATCTTGAGTTGGGTACCTCTTAGATGCAATGTTGTAACCAATGCCGTTTTCTTTGCCACAGGTTCCGGCTGGCGGACGGATCCAACCTGGCCATCGAGACGGTGCACATCGCGGACCGTGGCATCTACCAGTGTGTCGCCACCAACATCGCGGGCAGCCGGGAGTCCAAGGAGGCGCACCTCACCGTTAATGGTGAGTTCGTTACTTCTCACCAGTGTAGTCGCAGACAAGTCGCAGACAATCTCCTCTGCCGGGGCTCAGAGGCGGCTCAGCGTACCCCTCGCGTTGCTCACCGAGCCCCGTACCGAAAACGAGAAAAAAGAGAGAGAGAGGGAGACTACTCGTATTGTCGGCCACGATGTAAGCCGAGACGAATCAAGAGGGCTGGATAAGCACTAGACTTTTCCTTCTTTATGCTGGGTGAACACTGGCCGGGCAGACAGCTGCTTCAGATCTCGCTTTGTTTTGATGTGCCACCCCCCGGGCCCCGGGCCCCGGCTGGAGGCTGATGCCGAGCCTCCGTTCTCTCCGTCTCTCTCGCACTCGCGGGGCGGTCCGTTGGGGTGCGAGAGAGAGGGCGGCCAGGCGGAAGCCGCCCGTGTCCGGACACTTCCTGCAGCCTCATCACCGAGGCAGTGCGGGGCCGGGCGTAACTGACGGGCCTGCCGGCTGCAGTTACGCTGCTCAGCGAGCCAGTCGCTCCGTCTCTCTCGCACCCCTTGGGCGCGGCCCGTGCGAGCGAGAGAGACGGACTCCCTTTGTTCCGTCACGGTTGACACAGCAGGGCTTGGCGGCGCTTGGTGCTCCACGGTGTGAGGAAGGGTTGGCGTGCCACGCCACGGCACGCAGACCAGCTGCTGGGCCCGAGTAAGTAATTGCAACAATGCGTGCAACCTTAGTCGCGCCACCAACAGCAGACGCGATGCCAGAACACAAATAAAAACCGAAAACACTCGTACTTGAGCGGGTGTTGAACCCACGACCGCGTCGGAACGGGACGTCATTCGCTGCGTTACTGCGGCAGCGCAGTGCGGAGCATGTTAATGAGAACACTCCGATTGGCCTACAGTGGGGTAACTCGGCGTCGTCGCAGCAGTTACGGCACTGTAGACGTCTGGGAGGGAGAGAGGGTGGGCTGCTGGGGGAACGGGATGACAAGGGGTGGTGAGAGGTCCTGGGTATGAAAGGATACGAGGAGATCCTCAGCGCCCGGACATCACCCATTGAACATTCTCTTCATGTCGTCCCCCACCACGACGACGAACCCATTATCACCCCCCCAATCCCCCCCCCCTCTCTCTCTCTGTCTCTCTCTCTCTCCCTCAACATCATCCTCGCGGTGCGTTAGCGACAGTCCAGCGGCAAGGCGTTAGCGTGGCACCGCCCGCCCGATGACACTCTGTCTCTCTCTCCCTTCCTCTCTCTCCCCTTTTCTCTCTCTCCCTCTCTGCCTCTCTCCCAATAATACGAATTGAAACCAGCCGCTGATTGCTCTGCCCTTTTTATTATGATTCGATCCGATCGCAGCGCGGCGCCACGTCGCACCTCTAAATGCCCCCAGCTTCCGGCGCCGTGCCGCTCCCCGCCACTTCTTCACACTCTGCCGATAAAAAAAAGAAGAAGAAGGTGGAAATAAGAAAAACCGCAGCCATATTTATTATTTCCCCCCGCCCTTTTTTTTCGGCGGACCATTCATCTATTCATTCCTTGGGCGCCGACGACTGAATTCGCGTAGATTGCCACATTTCTGCCGATGCGATGCCGCTGTGCCCTTCGATTACATTACTTTCGACGGCTTTGAATGAATGTGCTTTTCTTCCTCGTTTGATTGTGTGTGTTTAATTCTTTTCGGGTGGGGACCCCCTGCCCCACCCAACCGCGCCGAGTTCGTTTAAATGGCCGAACTTCTTTTGATGGCCGTTCTTCGGGAGCGCGTTACTCAACTCGTGTCAAAACTGGAACGAGCTCGCGGTGTAGCGCGCGGGTCGTTCGGGATCCCCGTCGGTTAATTTGCAGACGCGTCGCGTTTCATGCGCGCCACTTTCTCTGCCCGTGTAGGGACCTCCTCGCCTCCTTTCATAAAGCGCAACCCGACCTGGAGGACACTGCCGAAAAGACAGAAAGCATTGTCTCTAGATGCATCACACAGTGGGTCAGCGAACACCGGTGCAGGCAGTCAACGAAGTAGCGGACGTGTTTTGAGCTCCAGAGTCGCTCGAGCCAAACGGTTTTTTTTTAGATTTTTCTAGTCTTTTCTTTGCAATGTCGAGACATAAAAGCAGGAAACGAAACCCGCGCGGCAATGCGCGACGCGATGCATGTCTATTCTTTTTCCATATTTCCCCAGATCCATTTTAGATAAAGCCCCGCAAGCGTCGTATATGCAAAGCGTGATGCACTCTAAAAAGCCTCCACTGCGCTCGCTGCACTCGCTGGTGCACTGGGACCCCGAGTTGAGTCGCCATGCATTCGACTCGCATTCTTCGTTCCCATTCGCCGACATGACACTATCTTGGGCAGTGCAAGGCGCGCCCGGTGAAGCAGTCAAAGCGGTTGTGTTGTTCCGGCTCTCTCTCTCTCTCTCTCTCTCTCTCTCCTCTCTCTCTCTCTCTCTCTCTCTCTCTCTCTCTCTCTCTCTCTGTGTGTGTCTGCGCGTCCCAGACGTGTTAGTGGTCGGTGGCCGGCTGGGTAGTTGGCCGGAAAATAGAAGAAGAGGTTCATTCTGGTTGGGCTGGCTGGCTCTGGCTGGTGTGTCTCGGCTGGGCTGGGGAAGGCTGGTCCAGTGTAGTGGTCTGGGATGTGGGTCCTTGTGCAGCGAGTGTGGCTGAGAAAATGGGTCAATCCGGCGGCAGAGGAGGTCTGCAGGCCTTGGCGAGTCTAAGAAGACAGCCATCGATCCACTGGCGAGTGGATTAAAATGCAGACGCATTTTCTGGCAGTGTAGCGTGCCGCTGGCCCGCTGGCTTGTTGTTGGGGGCGGGCTGTGAGGAATTGGCCTCCTGAGGGTCGGGAGGACCATGTCTTGCTGCTAACTTGTGGGGCGCAGAGGCTGGCTCTCTTGGCCGACGGCAGCCGACGGCAGCAGACTGATTCCGAGAGTCGTTTTCGTCGCTCTGTCTCCCTCGCACCTACACGGGGTGCCCCGTGAGTGCGAGAGAGACAGTGCGACGAGAACGGCAGGCAGCCCGACGGCATGCCGTGCCGTCAACATGCTGGAGGTGTTTGCTAGCAGCAGCTGTGGGAAAGCATCAATTTCTCCCTGACGCATCATGGAAATGGGTGGGAGGGGAGCGTCGGCTCGCGGAAGGCAAAAAAGAACAAGAAACCGGGACTCGAACCTACGCTGCGTTTTGTTCTCCAGAGTCGCTGAACGGGACTCGAACCGAGCGTGTGACCCCACCGATAGATTCCTCGTTCGGAGACCAATCCATTGGTGGGGTCACACCGAGGGGGTAACGACTTCGGGAATCCGGCTGACAGCAAATTGGTAATCCGTAATCCGGATAACCCGAATTTTTGAGTAATCCGGTAATCCGGGGAAATTTTGAGGTAATCCGGTAATCCAGGAATTTTTTTGTTGTAATCCGGAGGTAATTTGGGGGTAATCCGGGGTAATCCGAGGTAATCCTTAATCCGGCTGACACGAAATTTACCAGTCGTTACCCCCTCGGGTCACACGTTCGGTTCGAGTCCTGTTTAGCGACTCTGGAGCTCAAAACGCGTCTGGAATTTTGGCCGCCTGCACCGATCTTCTGGCCCACTGTGCGCCTCGCCCAACGAGTGATGACTGTTGCTTCTTCGTTTTACAGTGAAGCCGTACATCGTGGCGGGCCCCGTGGACACCATGGTGCTGGCGGGGTCGGCCCTGGAGCTGGCCTGCCGCGTGGGCGGCGACCCACTGCCCGACGTCATGTGGCGACGGGAGCGCGGCAGCATGCCCCTGGCCAGGGTGTCCGTGCTGGAGGACCGCACGCTGCGGGTGCACTCCGCCACGCCCGACGACGCCGGCCTCTACATCTGCGAGGCCGACAACCCCGTCGGCACCGTGTCCGCCTCGGCCAGGGTCGTCATCCACTGTAAGTACCTCCGCAGTACACTGTTCGTCAGTTTGGGTAAAATCATGCAGTTTTCCTCGTGGTGTAGGGCCTGGGGTGAACATTCTTACTGCGTACCGAGATGCGCAGCACCGCCTTAACGATCTTAACGACCTGCAAGTGGCTTTTGCTGGGTTGGCTGTGCCCCGGCCGACGATAGACAACGGGCTTATGTGGTCGCCGTGTGGACACTGGACCCATTACGGCGTCCTAGCTGACTCAGAGGTGCGGGGCCTCGTCCAGGGCCGGGCCCTCCGAGACGCCGCCACGGCCACCGGCTGCTCTCAACCCGAATATGAATGTGCCTGTTTTGTGTCTGTTTTGAGCTCTAAAGTCACTGAAAGGGACTCGAACCAGACGTGTGACCCTACCAATGGATTGCTCTCCTCAAGAGGAATCCATTGGTGGGGTCACACGTTCAGCTCGAGTCCTGTTAGTGACTCTGCAGGTCAGAATATGAATGTGAATGTAGGCTGAGTGAACGTGAATGTGTCCGCAGCGCTGCCGTCGCTATCGCTGCGTCCGCGCGACATCAGCGTGCCGCTGGGCCGCGACGCGACCTGGGAGTGCGCCGCGGTGGGTGTGCCCCGGCCCATGGTGTTCTGGGCGCTGGAGCCGCCCCCGATGCGCGCCGCCGCCCCCGCCCCCGACGCCCCCGACGGCCCGGACATCCCGGACGCGCCGCCCCCGCCGCCGCCACCGCCGCCGCACGAGGCCTCGCCGCTGGACGACGCGCAGGGTCGCCTGCTGCTCTTCAGCAACGAGAAGAAGGGGCGCTTCGCCGCGTCCACGTCGGCCGTCGGCAACGCCGTGCTCGTCCTCAAGGTGAGCATTGCCGTCATCCGTCTCTCTCGCACCTGCACGCACAGCGTCCCGCAGCAGCGGCCTGATTCCGAGAGTCGTCTTCGTCGCTCTGTCTCTCTCGCACCTACAGGGAACGCCTACGGGTGCGAGAGAGACAGAGTGACGAAAGCGACTTTCGGAATCAGGCCGCTGCGAGACGCAGCCTGACGCGGCACCACGGTGTGTCGGGGTAAATGTTGACTCGCGGAGGCAAACACCGAGGGGGGGGGGCTCATGTATCGACATGGGAGCTAGTGCCTGTTATTGGAGACGCTGGGCTTGTAGTGTAGTGGCGCTGCCTGGCCTGGCGCTCTGGCGGTACGCAGCGTGTCGCTGTGGCGCGCTGCGGCGGCTAAGCAACCCCAATGTGTGTCGTCGCTGTGGCGGGGTCGTTTGCCGAAGCCGACCACCGCCGAGAAACTTCTCGTGCCCCCTCCTCCCGGTTATCATCATTATTATTACTACTCCTTATTATTAAAAGTAATAATTATTCCAGGGAAAAGCCGCTTGCATAAACTAGTTTGAAACGCTGATCAAAATTTAACGAAAACGTGTTTTTTTTGTCCTGCTACTTTGCCGTTGAGGAAACTTGGTGGGCCTTGACGCGGTAGTGTCTGATGCTAATTTATTTAATCCGTCGGCCGCCACGCTCGGCGCCGGGGACTTTGTTGTACTCTGTTTTAATTCTTCGCCCTCGTCCACGCCCTCGTGCAGGCCGGCCGGGCCAGGGACGGGACAGCCCTTGCCTCGTCCTGCCTTGCCCCCAATCACCCAAAACGGGCGCTATTTTTTCATGTGAGGAACGTGACAAGATCCCTTCTCCTCCAAGCCCCTGCCTCCCCTCGTGTATCCAGTCCACACGAGCTGCGATAAATTGCAGGCTTTGCCCCCACCCCGCCCCGCCCCGCCGTGTTGGGCCACCGTCCCTAAACCCTTTGCCGGACGTAAAGTGGACAGCGGGACCGTGGCGAGGCCGGCCGGCACGGGACACTACACTGGGTGCCTCAGCATTCCCGCGCCAGCCTCACCAGCACACTGAGACAGAGCGACGAAAACGTCTCTCGGAATAATCAGACTGCAGCTAGCGCGGTTCCGCGTCGGTCACTCCATTTGCGATGCGTGTGAATTCTGGCAACGCTGCAGCTACTGTTTCACGGTGGGCGGTAAAATTGCAAAGGGGAAATTTTTCTTCTTTTTTTCGGCCTGGGAAAGGGAAAAATGCGGAAAAATGTCTGACGGTGGGGCGGTGCGTCGGGGCGCTGCAGTGCGGGCTGCAGGTAGACGTCCCAGGGCCCAGGCACGTAGGGCCTTCCATATCTGGTCTCATTCTTTTCCTTGCGGCAAGCCGGCGGGGCGGGGCGGGGCGGGGCGGGGCGGGGCCTCCCCTCGGCCCGTATCGCTCCCCTGGCCTCGCTTGCCGCCAAGCCTCACGGCTGACTAGTGCTGCCGAAATGCACGGTGATCCCGAGCCGCGCCGTTACACAGCGTGCACCGCACGGTCGGCTGCCTTCAGTCGCGGTGAAAACAAATGTTGCTTTGGGAAAGATCGCGCCTTGCACGCTGGGAAAAAGAGCAAAGTTTAAACTAAAGTCTTCCATTTTCTAATGCCAGGTAAACGTCAGTTTTCTCAAAGTTAAAAGCAATAATTTTACCAAAAAATTCTTTTTTGAATGAAAAGGATCGTTTTCCTTCTTTGAAAGCTGTTTTTCTCGGGAACTACGTCTTTTTCCCGCAGCGCTACTGATCGGGCTGGCCCGGCGCGGGGCGGGGCGGGGGACCCTCTTTTCCCTTTATCAAGGCGGGGGATGGTCACTAGAACGCCGTGTGGCGGGGCTGCGTGGCGGGCAGGGGCGTCCGGGCGCCTCTTGCACGGCCGATAGGGGACGAGGGACAGGCAGCTCGGGACAAATCACCAGCACCCCCTCTGGGGCCCCGCCAGGCCCCGCCAGGCCAGGCCCCGCCAGCGCGCCTCTTCAACAAGCAGGCTGCGGCGGCGTCGGGCCGCCGGGTAGGCAATCCCGTGCACGGGTGTCGGGCGTGTTGCCTACCCAGCGGTTCGCAGGCGCGCATCCGACCGCCTGCCGGGTAGGCAACCTCATGCACGGGTGTCGGGCGTGTTGCCTACCCGCTGGTTCGCAGGCGCGCTGCGTTGTCTGACCGCCAGCCAACCCCATGCACGGGTGTCAAGCGCGTTGCCTACCCACTGCTTTACAGGCGCGCTGATGCGTAAGCAACCAAGTTGTCTTTTTCCCTGGGTGCTTCACAGTGCAGTAGCGCCCCCGCTTCCGACTCGGACTCCACTTTCCTGCGGAATGGAATCCCCTTTATCAGATATCGCCTACACTGTGACCGGCTCGCTGCACCGCCGCCAAATGCAACGCGCTGCAGCGAATCGCATGGCAAGGGGAACGCTATCTGTACACGCTGTCTGGCGTCTCGGGTATGGCCGCGCGGTCAGCGACGTGGAGTCCGGGCCTCGAGGTCGGTGGTTCGAATCCGCCCCGATCCATCCCTCTTTTTTTTATGTCGCGCGTGCGTGGTGGAATGTGACGCGTCACGGCTGGGGCCTGATCGAGTCGCCGCCCTTCCAGATAGTTGCATCAGTGTCACGGCACGCCCTCGTCACGCCCTCGTCACGCCGCGACGATGGCTGTCGGTCTAGTGCCGTGTGACGAATCGTTTTCCCACATGTTTCTCCTGGTGTTTCGCGTCCCCCCCCCCCGTTTTCGGGGGTAACTTGCCGTTGCGCCTAGCGACCAAGTCATCTCCATGCCGTCCCCCTGCGGCTCGCAGTAACTGGACTGTCTAACCAAGGAACCCGCGGCGGGATCGGGTTAGCCAGAATTACCATAACAGCAACACAGAAAAAAACGGAGTGATGCGGAGCCAATACAAGCAGGAGGGGAAAAAAACGAGGGGAAAATGGTGTGAGGCGGGCGAAGCGACCCACGAGGGTGCCCCAAAAGTTGTGCGTGTTTAGACACGCTGCGACATTCGATTCGTCCCCTGCTCCATCTTCGTCACGCCGGGCCAGCCTGGCAGTCACACCGTGACACTCCTTTTACGTTGTAGGCTGATTCCGAGAGGCGTCGCTCCGTCTCTCTCGCACTCGTGGGGCGTCCCGCGTAGGTGCGAGAGAGGCAGAGCGACGAAGACGACTCTCGGCACCAGTCTGCTGGTAAGGCCGGGTAAGGCGCTGAGAGGCCCCTGTAAGGGAGCGAGTGAGTCTTTGGCGAGTCGCTGGGCCTTGCCCGCTGAGGTGTCGTACGCACAATCCATGGGAAAGACTACTCCAATCGCCGTGACACTGTTAAAACCGTCATGGAGCACTTGACTTTACCTTCAGCCATTTTGAAACATCGCCAGTCACGATTTTCTTGGTCAAATCACCGAAACCCACTGGATTATTTCCGACTCCAATCTTTTTAGAGTGTAAGCCCGCTGATGTGGGGATGCAGGTGTACGCGAGGCCGGCGGCGGGTTTGAGTATTTCGCCACCGTCAGAGGATTAAGTCTCCGGCGACTCTAATGCATGCCACGGTGTGGCGGACGGCGAAGGCTTCGAAAGGAAATGTCGGATCATCCCATGCAAATAGGGGCAGCTTGCGTGTCCCGTGTCCGCGAGGGTGGCTAGGCAGGACAGGCAGGGGTGGAGCAGCGAGAGGGAGAGAGAGAGAGAGAGAGAGAGAGAGAGAGAGAGAGAGAGAGAGAGAGAGAGAGAGAGAGAAGGGTGTGCGGCGAATCTCGCTCCCACTTACCACACTCTGCTGTGTTTGCCTGCCTTCCTGCCTCAATCCCCTCCCCCCTCCCCTCCCAAAACGGAAGGCCGCGGGCTCGAACCAAGGCGTGGCCTGGGCGTAGCCGCGTGCTGGTAAGTGGTCCGTTGCCGGAGGGGGCCCCGGCTTCGGCCGTGTTGCATGTTTGGATGGCTCCGACCAGAACACACACATGCTCACACACACACACCCGCTGAACCCCCTCCGCCCCTTTTTGCCTCACACACAGACACACACACACACACACAAAGCGATGCCCTCTTTCACCTATGGGGACGGCAACGGCGGCAGTCATCCCAAGACATTCCGTGGCCTTTTATTCGCCCCACCACGTGTGAGAAATGGAACATTTTCCGCCCCCCGCCCCACTTCCTGGCCCTGCGAATAGAAATAAACAAACCGACAGCAGCACAAGGCTAGGGGTGGAAAAAAACGCGCGAAAAGAGGATTGCTGTATAGTGTGGTGGTTGTCGTAGTCGCGCGCGCGTTATACGTGCCACGAGCAGCACCTGCATTGCAAAAAAGAAAAGCGGAGCTAAAAAAGTGAAAACGTTCTAAAATAAAATACAACTAAAAAAATATGCCGTGTAGTGCGGTGCGCGCGTGCAAATCCCCCGAAGAAGCACGCGTTGTGTAGGCAGCCCGCACTGCAGCGAGAGCTAAAAATACCCCTCCTTTTCCCCCTTCTTCTCGCGATGTTTAACAATGGGAACGTCTGTTTTGCCTTTTCGTACGACTAGTGTGGGGTTTTCGTGACGTTTTCCATGAATTTTGCAATGGGTTTTCTTTGAAATTCTCCTCTCCTCAAAAAAGAAACAAACAAAATGAAAGTCAAGTTTGATTGTTGGCAATTAAATGAAAGATAAAATTGATTGGTGTTTTGGAGTGTTTGGCGTGCTCCTCGTCGGCTCGGCGCGCCGAAACGAGACAGCGGCCTCTTCTGGGCGGCGCGAG